GGATGAAGCAAACAACTTTAAAAGATGCCAGATTTAACCTACATACAAAATCTTATTCTTGAATACTGAACCAGCAATTTGCCAGTACAGCTATGACACAGGATATGATCAGTCCCAGAACTGTATCGCTTTGCTTTAAATGTTTAGAAATCTGCAACTTGTTGTTAATCAAATCAATCTTAAAGTCAACATTGGCAGACTCAGCTTTTCTAAGAATTTGACTTTTTATAGTCAAAATTATGGCACATAGTTCTAAAACTATTAAATAAACAAGGAAATAAAGGGAGAAATGCAATGAGTAAGAATCCCCAAAGCAGAGTTATGTCCCTTTACCTTTCATTTTCACTGGCAACCACTCCGTTCTGATTTTAGTATTCCTGCTTACAAATAAAGGGGGAAAGGCTGCGGGTGGTGGGGAGCATGGGTGTGGGAGGGTACACTGTTGTCTATTAGTGGAATCAACCTTTTCAGTTGACAAAGACAACAACCAAATCTGTAGATGGTTTATTTGATCTGCGTGAAAGAGGGACAGTGGGATTTCTGGCACTTGAATAAGCGGAAACAGTATTTTTGGCTAGAGAGACTTCTGAGTTCTCTCAGGGAGCCTTCTAGAAGGCCATCTGGACCATAGTATTTCTTTTGTAAAGCTCTGAATTTGGAAACACAAATGAAAGGTGTGTGAGCTGCAACCGGATACCTATGAAAATAATTTGCTTTCAATATTGGTGTGGGGGATATTCCTTGTAATTTTCTAGATGAAAAAAACTACATGAGGAAAAAACCTTTTTCTTTCTTTATTAAGATATAAGTTCCTAATATATATATATTCCAGTAGAGGATTTGCTTTTGAATACAAACGTATTTTCATTACTGCTCTCTCTAGTGAAATTAGAATGTTTCAGTTATGTGCGTTATTTATAGTTGTTATGTCAGGTAGTGACCTTGTTTTTGACCTTTATAATTATTCATTGAACCTAGATTTTAAAGATGAACACTTTCCCTTCCTTGGTTTTTAGCCAGCTTCTGAAGCTGTAACAAACAAACAAATCTTGAAAAAGTTAAACAAAATCCTTCCAAAACAAAATAAAGCACTTATGGCAATGATACCAATAAACCAGAGTGCTTGGAAAACTGAAAACGAAGCAAAGCCATACTTGTAGGCAGATACTGCAGAAATATGAATATTCTAGTGAAGTACCTTTAAAAATTGGTCACGTGCTACATTTTGCTATTCTTTCACATTTTTCTGTTAGAGCCTCCATTCAGAAAGAAATAGTAAATCCTTATATTAAGATTTCTTGGGATTATCAATCATTTTTAAAAAGTAATTATTTTCTTTAGCTGTCATTTTGCCCAAGAAGTGATGACTATAGAAAAAGAAAAAAACTAGCACTGAATTTATAATAGAGACATAAAAAATATATAGTATCATATATATGAATATATATATAGTATAAATATACGTTACATGTATTTATTTATAAACGAATTATAGTTTCCACTGATGTCAACTAATATTAACTAATTATTTGCTTGAGAGTTTTCATTTCAATGATCCAGTTTTCACACTACACACAATTTTTAGTTAATAAACACTGGTAAAACCATATTTTTAAACAGGCAATACTAAATTTAGTTGATGGAGAATTTTCAAATATTATGGAGTTAACATTATAATGAAAAAAAAAGACATAAAAATGAAATTAACTTTCAAGAAAATCATTTATAAATTTGAAATATATCACATGGAAGTGACTTACCCTGGCTAAAATATTTTTCGAAGATAAAATAATGACATGCAGCTTCCATCTCAAAATACATTTCTCTGCAAGGATGAAAGAAAGACTCAAGCTTGATTAATATTATGGATATATACCTCACAACTGATGTCAGCTAAATTAGAAATATTTTAGTTTATAGGAATTAAAATAGGAGCATAGAGTACGTGGACTGTTCAGACATTTTCCAACAGATTTAATCAAGAAGATGACCGCAGTCCTTAATGTCAACCGATAGCCTAATTCTTAGTGGGGATTGTTGTACCAGGCAAAATCCTTAAAGTAGGCATAAATATCATTACCTGCCAAACAGTGACAGGTTAGATGAGCAGATTATTATTTGTTAATGTATTTTCATCCAACATTAGACTAAGGCATCAAAATCTCTTTCCTTAAAACCTCCAATTAAAATAAAACAAAAAAATGTATGTGATACCAAAGACTGAACCCTAATAATTTATCTACTTTTGATCTAAGTAGTCCCATGAATTTTGTTATTGGGTGAGAAAAGGAGATAAAAGAAGAACTTTTCTTTTTGAATAATTATTATAACTATATGATAATAATAATTATTATTACTGTAGAAGACAATTACCCAGCATAAACTGTAAATTTTAGCTACACCTTTGGTCTTAAAGAAGAATATAATTTAAGATGAGAGCAGGAAGTAGAGGAAAGTAAAGATATATAATTTTGCCTTCTTGGGTCATTTCTACTTAAAAACATTTCTTGAATGAAATTTTTCATCAGAGGGGGAAAAAGGCCTTTTAGAAATTTATAATTGTCTCACTGGGACACAACCATCAGCTTCTCCTCAATGACAGAGTCACCTGTGCTTTGGACAAAGTAACCGAGGGTGTATGTTTTCATCTGTGATTCACATTTGAAATAAAACAGATTAGATGCTTGTTGGAAGCAATACTTCATACAACTGAGCGACCTATTTATACTAAATCTTTACAAACAGAACCCACATTATTTAAACCCCAAGACCTCTCAAGACCCAGAGTCACCTACTTGCAGACCCAATTTTTGTGACCAGTCAATTTATAGGCAAAGTAAAAGAAACATGTGAACTGGATAAAATAACCATATGTCCCCACTGGAAGCCCCATTACTTGAGCCATTTAAACCTTGCTGGACAAAGCACCAGGAGAATTTGCGATAGGAAACAAACCTACACGAACGGGTCAGGGAAGAACTGACCTAATAGTTAGTCTCTCTTCTGCTCTAATTTCTACAGTTCTGTGTTAAGAAAAGCTGCCACACGGTTGAGAAAGCTTATGCCCCAACAAGAGGGCATTTCTTATTTGGAAAAAAAAAAAATTCAGAATTTAACATTTAAGTTGCCATCATCAAAAGGTAAGGACACTCTGAGACGATTTTCCCTGAGAACAACACTTTCAAGATATAATGGAAAAGTGTGTTTTCCTTCATTCAAGAACTTAAATGATGGTGAAAGAGCGTGTTCCTAGTTTGAATTTTGTTTGTTGGCTACTGAAATTTAGTGTAACCTCTCCCATATCCCTAGCTGCTTACAGCGCCAAGTAGCATCCTTTGATGTTATCTAATGTGAAACCCAGTGTAACACAGGGCTAGCCCAGACTGGAACTCTGCTTGGTCTGCCGTTTTGATGGTCCACATCCTGCCTCAGTTGATTATTTCAGTAGGAAGTATTCATCACATGCATGTCCTCAGCTTGTAGAAGGCACACACAGAGGTGCAGAACATTTAGGGAGTGTGTGCACAGGCAAGCATGGGACAGACTAGAATGGATGGAGTTATTTGTGTGTATGAATGAAAAGGTACATGGCTCTTCTCTCCAGGTAAATATCTATTTTTGAAGATCTGGATTTTTGGGTCAAGATATATAAGTGAACATAAAACACAATGTCAACTTAAAATATTTTTCTATGAACTGCAATGTTTTTCTGATGGTCACTACTGATTTGAAATGAAAGGATGCTATTTATCCTGAAAGTGGTATATGTCCAAATGGGATGTTTCCAATATCAGATTCTGCCTTTTGATTTTAAGCACAAGTCTGTGTACTGGTGATCTTGTGGGTGTGTGAGGGTGAGCATGTGCGCCTGGCTGGAACTGAGGGCAGGTATCCATAGTGAGAGGGAGGGACTGACCTATTTAATACTGTTACTTACTTTCCCGAGTCCTGGGATTTTCAGGTGTTTTTACTGTCAGTGAAAAGTATAAGTGACACTTCTCACATTGATGTCTTCGGTTCACCGAGGAAAACCAGGTTTTTCTTTTTTCTTTTTGGTAAGGGAGACTGTGTAACCTTTAGACCCTTAATAATGTTTCAACATTCTCCCCTAAGTACTTCTGCCTTGAAGGTATCCAAACCTCACTCCTTATGTAGGTAACAAGGGCGAATTTAGACATTACCTCTAGGACAGATTTATAAATGCAACTTTCTCCCCATCTCCTTAAACAGAGGCACACGGTATTACTGCAAATAACCTTTAAGATAATTAACTGACAATGCTGCAACTAGCATAAAATCTTCCTTCAGGCGACACCTAATTTAAGTGTTACTGGCACAAAGTGGAGACAGATTGCGCATCACCACTGCAATATTTACATAGCAGAAACCCACAGAGCAGGAAGCGCGGGGCTCAATGATGCACTAAATTAGGAACAACCATACTCCGGTGTTAATTTGCTTTCCATTCTATCCAAATCTCAGGTCCAGAAATTGGTGCAAGCACATATACAACCTCCCACTCTGAAATGACTAAACCGGAGGAGATTTCTGTACTTCCCCCTCCCCAGTGTTAAAGTAACTTGAAATTTATTTCTTCTCTCCACAAGAACCACTTGATCAAACTGTGTCTATTTCATTACAACTTGCTCTCACTTTGATCTAAAATTATTTTCATATAAAAGCTGCATCAGAGTCTATAGAGAAAAACTATATAGAGTTCTTCTATTTTCTCAACAGCTGCCAATATAGTTTATGAAAAGAATAAAATGAGACTTGAGTTCTAGTTGGTAAAATATTTAGGAACATGGAAGGGCAAATTTACTTTTGGCGAATTTCTCACTGATAAATATTGCCCCCCCCCCCCCCCAGTACAAACCCTCCCCACCAAAATATGAGTTGTTTTGTTTGTTTTTTAAATTTCATTCAAACAATGCTTTTTTCATTCTTCCCCACAGTGTCTTAAACTCCACTTTCATCCAAGGTATTAATAAAACATTTACCTTTCCTAATTGTTGATGTTCTTTAAAGGCAGCAATCAGTTCTTCAGCCCACTTAATTTTTTCAGGGGAAGGAGAAAACTGCTCCTGGACAATCGCGATTTGGTTTGGGTGTATCACCTGCTTACCTACAAGGAGGGTAATAACACCAAAAACAAAACAACAAACAGATGTTTAAACAAAAGGTCTCGACCACGCGAGGCTCCAGAACGCCTCACAGACTGTATTGTATGTAAAAGAACACATTATTTTACAACATTTAAAAAAAGAAAATAATGGCAATTGGGCAGGCTTTCCCAGAATACCACACAAGGGCAAATACAACAATGGGAGTGATTGTGTTTCCGATGGAAATGCCACCTTGGTGCAGATAATCTCTCGTTTTAGTTACAGGTGGGTTGATGAAAGCTCTTGAATAATGCTTTGGCTGGAACTTTAAAGGATAATGTCTGAGAATTAGAGTGATTGTTTTGAATTAAAGTAGAAAAAAAATTATACGTTAATTCTTTCAAATATTATAAGTTGTCTTTGGCTTATTTTGTACCATTACCCTGCCTTCGATGATTTCTTTTAGAAGTAATCTGTTGGTTTTCATAAAGCTTACAGAAGCAGATATTATAACTATATTAATATCAAATACTGTCTCACAATAATAATATAACTTTCTTTCTTTTAAATATAGTATGTCATTTCTAACCACGAATAGAAATTTAGATTTCGATGAAAAGGTTTTATTCAGTACGTTGAAATAAAAGGCAGATTTGAACCGTATGGTCTCTAAATTACTCTATTTAAAAATGTTTAAATAAAAATTACAGAAAGTTTCTGTATCTAAAAATATAACTAGATTTCCCTTTTTTCTTATAGAATGAAGATTTTACATTTTTCTTTTATATAGATATTTAGATACCCCAGATGAAATCTTATCTCTGTAGTAATAGGTTTAAAAAGGCTTTATGCTTCTTTTTGAATTTTCTTAAATAAAAACATTACACAAAGATAAGAGTCTCAGGATTCTAGGAAATCATGCAGTCATAAAAAAAACAGTTACAGTCAGGGAAGAATAGAATCTAATCAGGTCATTAATAAAATGAAACATAATTTAATGTTATAATAATGGTGAGGTTATATTTTATTACATAATGAAATTATGGGCATATTTGGTACTCTAAAAATGAATGTACACTTAATAATAATTTACTCTGCTAAATACATTTGTTGGTATATCAACTTGCTTTGCTTTGAAAGAGTTGTTTTAACATTTAGTCACTAGGAATTATATCCTTGATGTTTAAAAAATGGTCAGTTGCTATAACTGCCATTATTCTATCAAATAGAAAAAAGAACAATATTTGTAGAAAAAAATTTGTTAGTGTTTCATGGAAAAGAGTTTAAGTGAATACATATAGTAATACTTTTTCTTACGGTGGCATAATTAAAACATCCTAATGTTACTATTTCATTTTTAATCTGTCAGCATACTAATAAAGTATTAAAATGCTATATAAATAAAGATGCTTTAAATTATTTGAGGAATGATTTCTGGGAACAAATAACATCAGTGATGACAAATGAGAGCTTTTTTCAATAGTAGGTACTGAAATTATATTTAAGTAATCTAATAGTTGTTACAATATTATTAATAAAGGATGTCAGTTCTGGTAGTCATTTTGTACTAATTGTTAGTCCTGAATTTTATAATTTATGTACATAATTTACAGTGATGTGTAAAAACCCAGATTTCATGGGAACTTCTTGGTACACACACTAAAATTTGAGGAGCAAAACACAAACTATTTAAAATACAGTAAAACTACAGATGGCTTGCATATACCCATATTTTGGTTTTAGAAATTTATGAACAACTATATGTGAAATTATCTTTTGTTGAATCTTATATACCCCAGCAACGGAGCATCAGACTTTAATGTCATGTGGGAGCGAAGCAAATATTCTATACAGAAGAGTTTTTATTGACAAGTTACTGAGAGGGTGCAAAATTGGAAGACATTAAAATTTATGACCATGAAATCCTTTTTACAGTACCACTTGATATATCGTGCTTTAAATCAATACCTGTCAAGTCTTTTAGGTAACTGTATGATGGTGTCATTTTTGTCTTTTACAAAAGACTGCAAAAAGAAGAAAACCTATCGAGTTTCATATTTATCATCTTTCTTCTCAGCATGTAGTACTGGAGTAACTGTGATGACCAAGTCAACTGTTAAAGCTTTATTCTAAGATTTATTTTTAGTTTATTTTTATAAAAATAATTCCTAAAGTTAATAGCTATTTATACAGTCAATGCATTGATTTAAAATCTATCTACACGGATTGTAGCTCTGTGAAATGATGACTACAGAAAAGAAACTATAACCTACTGTTTCATGCATGGTTAATTTTTAAAAAACTATAACTCACTAAACATATGTAATTTTAAAAAATACAGAAAATCCTTATAACATATATTATTTCTTATTAGTGTTCTGGATAACACAATACTTTTATTGGATTTTAAACTTTCAACCACCTGCTTCAGATAGGATGTGTATCCTCCCTCTCTCCCTCCCTCCCTCCCTCCCTTCTTTCCTTCATCCTCCCTTCCTCCCTTCCTTCCTTTTTTCCTTCCTCTTTTTCCTCTCCTCCCTTCTTGTACAAAGCCCAAGGTATGGAATTAAATGACAAATAATTAGGACAGACAGATCACGAGTGTCCTAAAATGCTCATTAAATCATTTATTGTTTAAAAAATACTACAAATAATCTCATATCTTATCAGACTAATTACCTTTTATTGGCACATAGAAATATAATTGGGACAACAAAGACCTTCCTAAAAATTGCAAAATGGCTATAAAGTGTAGCTCCCTACTTTACTGACTTGTTCACTTGAATGTATAATGGGCACTGTACCCTCTGTGCCTCCCCATCCCCCCTTCCATTTTTTTGTGTGATTTAATACTCCCTGTTGTTGAGAAACAATAGTGCCAAGCCCATAAGCCTCTCATGCTGAGTTGGGCACAGTCTAGAAATTTAAATCTGATTTGAAATAACTTGTCTTATGCCATTGAATTAGGGACAAATTTAATTCAGTCCTGTATCTTGGAGAAACCCTCAAACTCCTTTGTAAGTTCTTGAGCATACATTTACCCCAGAGGAGACCGTGGACACCCAGGTATATGAGTGGTGGCAACAGAGACCCACATCAATTCAGTGTTTTCTATTTTTTATTGCGTTAGTGCCCATTTCAGAGCAACATCTGGCTTCCTGGCAGCCAATGCCACACGTTTTAGACCAACAACATCAGGGTCTGTTAGATAGATTTCATGGAGTTTTCCTCCAACTTTTCCATTTGGGCCACGTCCTAACCAGTTGTTAGAAACAAGCTGGTATAACAGGCCAGAGGGACAAAGACAACCCCAAGACCAGGCTAGAGGAACTCTTTCTTTCTCAGTCACTATTAAATGTAGGCAGGATTTATTAATAGTTCAGATGACTGAAAAATATTTCCCTATAGGAGATCACATTTATTTAACAAACTTGTGGGGGTCACATTTTAACTCTTTATATTAGAAACACAAAATCAAATGTCAAAACTTTATTTAATTCTAATAGAACACTTAAAATGGTTTCTTAAGCCTTTCCATTTTACTTCAGGTTTAATCATCATCTATTCAGATACCTTTACATTTAAAGTCACCTTATGAAATGTTTCCTTTATAACTCCTAACTAGACATATTTCAAAAATATTTACCAAAGGGATAGCATGGATGCTTGTCTCTTTTCTTAATTATTTGGGTACATTTCTGAGCATGATATTCTTATAACTTGCAGCAGAATAATGAACAAGAATGAAAAATTTTATAGTGCTTTTTTATCTATGGTTGCACGTGTATGTATGTGTGTGTGTGTGCAATTGCAGACATGTGTTTGGGTGTAGAATCCTATTGTGGTTTCTCAAAAAAAATACATTTCTGTTGCAAAAACACAATTTTCAGTTGCTCCCTGGGTTCCTGGGGACCTGAGTGATCCGACACACCAATCAACAGAATATCCGCCTGTGCTCCAGGACCGGATTGCGAGGGACCCGCTGATCTCGGTGCCAGCCAATGCCTGTAGGTGCTGCCAGGTGCATAGACACTTACTGGGAGGTGGGAGAGAAAGAAGGGGCTTGGAGTGGCAGATAAATAAAAACCTAGTTATGAGTGAAAAAAAAAGATCAAAAAGAGATCACCACAATTTTTTTTCAGAAATTAATTTTTTGACTACTGGAGGAAATGTTTCTTCAATTCATCAACCCAAACTCTTAAGGCAATTCACCCAGAAACACTTCTATAATTGTCTCATCTCTCCCCTCATGTCAGCAAGAACTACAACCAAATCCAAGAGGACAGAAAAAAAATGGTCACTAATATAAAGAGGAAATAAAAGGAGTGACTTGTCGATTGGCAGAGCCAAAGAAAAACCTGAATTTGTTGGGCAGGTTCTTGCCCTGGATGGCTTTGTCATGTTTCAAATAGTGGAACAGGCATGTGAAATACCTGGCCACCTTAGGAACACTCATTTCTAGTTAAGTTTCTATTTTTCTGGAATGTTCTCAAATCCAGACACTGCTTTCTTAGACATCATCAGGAATCATACCCGTGAATCCCATCATGGCTCCTTCTCTCGCCTGCCTGAGAAGCCCCTCCTCGTCTCGAAAGTCGATGTACACCAGGTCTATGGCCTGCAGACCAAAGGCCTTCGCTACGACAATAATATTTTGTCGGGCGTAGAGAATATCTTGCGTTTCTTTACTACTTGTTGCTCCTGAAAATGGGATGTTGACAGAAAAAGGAGACGTTAACTTTGGAAACTGAACCCATACATCTCTAAACAACTTAGTTTGTAGGGACGTCTATGTCCTCCTAGGAATCGCTCCCCAGCGAAGTGATAATTCAGTATAAACGAAGAGAGGGCTATGTGGAGACAGAATTAAATCTCACGTCTCACTTGCAAGGCATCTTCCAGTATCATTACTCGTGTGTGCATTAAGAAAAGGCCTCTCCCCCACCTCAGGAGCTAAAATCATGAGTGACTTGACAGGTCACAGATGACTCCTGATATGTTTGCTTCCTTCTTGCCATCACTTGGAACGGGTCAGTCCCAAGGTGGCCCCGCAAAAGGTGGCCAAACAGCTGTGCAAGGAGATGGTTACGTTCTCCCTGAGCCGAGCCACGTGCTGGGGCTGCAGTGCCCTGTTACAGCTGGGGTTCTGAGCCAAGCACTGCAGCCTCAGGGCGGGGTGGAGAACTTGGGGAAACAAAAGGAGCACTCCTGAGCGAGGCAGAATGTGCCCACTATGGGCAACACAGTCTCCATGAAAGACTGGTGTTAAAATGAGTTCCTTTTTTTCACCCTGGGGATGGGAGGGAGCGTGTTTATATTTGCTCTGGGAAAGCTGCTGCCTCCAGGTCACTGGGGCTGTGGCTCTGAAACCCTGGTGCCTTGGCCTCTCTTCCGGCCGCACCCGCAGGCTCTGGGGTGCGCGCACTCAGACCGCAGGCAGCGTGCCCAAGGGCAGGACGATCAGTGGAGACAAGCGTACTATCTCAATAAGTATTTCCTAATAAGAGTTCTGAAATATACTTTAGGAGGAATGTAAAATCTATTTTAAATAATATTTACATAGAAAATTATTCTTTAGAGCAAATGTGGAATTGTTTTAAATTTGTGTTAGGAGTCTTGATAGCTTTTACACTGATGTGAAAATAAATATTTAAGCAATAGAGAAATTGTTCACATAGTACTTACGATGATGCATATATTCCTGAACACGTCTGAGGCTGCAACAGGCTTTTTATTAGTTATTTTATAAATGAATAGAAGTCATAATGTTGTGTTCTGAAGCAAGACAACGATGAGTTGTCCTAAATCATCAGGAAGTGTTGCCCATTCAGCTAAAAAACTATTGTCATGGTTGGCAAATATACAATGTCATGTAAATGTCCGTTTGTGAAGGGGCAGAGAAAAAATATACACACACATACACACAAAGAATGAGAGAGAGAGAGAGAAATAGAGAAATAGTCTTGGACACCTATGCTGGCTCGAAAATCTTCTCCTCCAAAAACGACAGCATCTAGGAAAAGACCCGCTTGAGGCCCAATCTTGAGTGCTGCGTCACACACGGTCTGGAAGAGAGCAGAACAGAACCAGGTCTCACAGAAACGCATGGAGGAGAGAAGCAGCGTTGTCTAGAGTTCAGTAACGGAAAACCCCCACTCTGACACCACACGTTTTGCCTGAAAGCAGTTCTAAAAATGCAGCCCAAATGTACCCCTTTTGAAAGGTATTTAATATTGTCTGAGATATGTCTGATGTATACACTGGCTTTGCTTGATAGAGTATATTAATATAGTTATAATATTCAAATTGTAGTTCATCCAATTTCTAGAAAAACTTTGGGTTAACTCAGTTTGAGTGTACTATAACTTATTTGTATTTTCCCAAAATTTGTTTTTGCTTTAAGAGATTCAAACCTTAAACATAAAGTCACAGGAGAGAAGGAAAGAATTTTTAAATCAAACTAATTGGGTTGTTTGCATTGGGATCAAGATTTCTTAGTAAATGGTTTTAGGATTAAAGGTACATGATACAAAAATCTACAGTGCCGGAGGGGAAAATAAAAATGCAACAAGTCATCCAAGATATATTAATAAGCAACTTTGACTTATCTGTGTGAAATAATGGTAAATGACACTCACCGTAGACATAACTGTGAGCCTACAAAGGTGGAGATACAGCTAATATATGTAGGGGGGAAAGACAGGAGAGACTGGTGAGGATACTGCTGTTCATTTCAGGGGTGGTAAGTGCTTCTAAGCACATTATGGAACAAAATGGCAAAACCGCGCTAAAAATCAAATCGTTGTATGACTCTAGCTGCATCTAAGGGATATGCTTTGATTTTATTCCCAGAATTCTAGGGTGGGCTGAAAGAATTTGTGGTGAGTGGTGTAAACACGCTTGATCACGAGGCCTGAAGCAGCTCCCAAACACTTGCACACTGCCCCTCCTGCATGGTCCAGTAGGTCTCAAAGTTTCCTCTCGGAGTGTTCGTTCACGTATTACCTCTCCAGTACAGTTCATCTATCTTTTTGTTTTGTTTTTAGGGATTTCTTCTCTCCTGCCCTCTGAGATAGGGTGCTACATTGATGTTCGCAAGTCAGGTGGAATGTGAGGCATATTTTAGAAGAAAATTGAAATGACAACCGATAAGGAGATTTTTTTTACAATCTAGCTGTTAATTTGTTAAGGCAAATAGTTCGATGCAACCATGCAATGCAGGAAAACATTTGGCTCAAATAATCTTCCTGATATATATTAGGAAATAGTTTATGTTCTAACATGGTAACCTGAAATAATATACCACAAATTATTGGCATATACTAACCAACAAATAGCAATGGTATCAACTAGACATTATGGATAATGTTGCTACAAAGAGACCAGAAAGTTTCCCAATAAAAGACAGTTGTTACAAAAGAATAACCAAAAGTTAATTCATAAGGGTGATGCAATAAATTTTCATGCACGTTTAATCTATAAATGTCAATTCAAAACACATATTTGCATGGTGATTATTTAATTAAAATTATTGCCAGGAATCTACAATTTAAACATTTAGGACTGGGAAGTTTTTCCTTGATACTTAGCCAATTTCTTTTGTTTCTAAAATGCCCACAACCTGGTTTTGGATAATTATGAATAAATTGTGCTCAAGGTTTACTTTGCTTATACATCTTTTCAGAAAAAATATTTCACATAGATGTTAACATTGAAGAGTTCTCTTTAGGTAATGAAATACTAACTTGTAAGCCACATTGGGGTTTTCTTACCTTAAAATTGAGCAAACCCATTGCAGTTTCCACAAAAGGGATTAAATTCATAGGTTGTTCAAGTTTTCGGCCTTTTAAGTAGAATGAAAATTTGTCTGAAAACTAAAATCAAAAGTGTCACAGGTGATTAGTGGGGGGAAAATGTACAATCACTGAAATGTAGACACAGAAGTAGTAGTTAAGTCTTTGACCTGAGGAAGTAATATCCCAGCCTCTTTCATCCACACAAAAGAATTTTAAAAAAGAGAAAAAAGAAGAAAGAGGAAAGACCAAAGCAAAAAAGGTAACAAAGTTCCCACCAAACTAAATAGTAAAACCCCAAGCATTATACTTTTCTTTTTCCCCCTCTAAAGGAGCAATTTGAGGCCTAGGAGTTAGAACTGGAAGGAGAGATTTCTGAGTTTAAATGCTTCTCTTAAAAACATATTTACTGCAGACCTCTCACCCTCACTTCTTACACGCCAGTGGTGGGCCCCTGACACAAGCGTCCTGCCCCGCCTGCCGCTCTGTTTTTGTTTCACGCCCAGCGCTGCCAGTGTCACTGTGCAGCAGCCTTCTGCGTGGAGTCCGTGTTGTTCACTAGAGCACCATTGCCCTTTGTTCGGAAGGTTTTTCTTCATAATTTTTTAGCTTACCTAGGAAGACCTTAAAAAGGAAGTTTAATTCTTTGAAGACCAAAGCTTGCCAATTTTTTCCACGAGACCAGTTCACAGCTAGCTCTGTGCTGCCGGTGGGGCAGCCCAAATTCCAAAACCTATCATCTGGAAACACACGGAAGCTCTTGCGCAGCTCCCCCCACCCCTTTCAAAAGGAAAAAACCCCCACCACTCTAAATTGTAAATCTATTATGTCTATCCAGATCTAATAAGATATGGGGAGATAAAAAACAAAACGAAACAAAACAAAAAACAACACAGGTATGACAAAGATATTTTTGTAAATAAAGATGAAAACATATATATCCATTTTAAATTTAAGGAATATTCAGCCATTAATGGATATCAAAGGAAAAGGGAATTTTAATCATCTCTCCATTCAGTCTCAGTTGGGTAAATCATATCTAAGAGATTTGCATAAATATAAACCATCAAAGACTTTTCATCTTCAAAGGGGGTTTCAAGACCCTATAAGCTTTGTACTGTAATCATCGCAGGTCACCACCCTGCAGGAATAGGGCTGCTATGGCAACATAAAAAAACTAATGCTTAAGGCTTAGCATAATATTCTGACTAATAGAAAGGAAACTCATTTTAAAAGCTGGCAGCCTATTTACCAGAAGCAGGATTAGAGGTGTTATTTCCCCTTTTAGCTGCCCCCTCCTTGCCTGTGCAGCACCCCCCCTAAAAAATCTAATCACTGGGATCTTTAAAAAGCTTTTGAGCAATTTGCAGTAACTTTACAATTAGGCTAAAATAAATCACAGCTTTCAGTAATGAAGAATGATTCCCAGTTGCTCCCACTGCCCCCGCCCTTCCTCCTCACCATCATCATCACCTCCTCAGTAACTTTGCAAGGGAAGGAATAACTCAACTGAACTAGCCAAAGAAGAGAGGGTTACAGTTGAAGGTGACAAAAACGTATTGTATGAAAATAAAACATAATTTATGTCACATTTAAGCTAGAAAGTAGGTAGAGACATATTGGTGATTTTGGTGTTACATATGCAATGGAGGAATTTGTTTTTCTCATTAAAAACTAAAATCTTGCAACATTACTTGCTCCATGCTTTGGGGTAATAGTTATAACTACAAACATCATCAAGTTTAAAACTAGCCAAACACTTTACAATATATTCCCTGTTCTCAGTGAGAAAAATCTCAAACGCCTTTTGTTTTTAAGCCAATAGGGGCATTTAAAAATTAAATATTCTAGCCCATCCTCCTTCCCCTCCTCCCCTTCTTTCTTAAAAAATTGCATTAAGTACGAACACAAAAGGTAACTAGTGGAGAAGTTTCAATTAATTTTTTCAAAAGGAGACGATTAAATGTTTCCGGCCTGGTAAAGTGTTCATTTCAGCGAGGTGGAGGGGACAGGGGGTGGAGGGGGGAGAGGGGGAAAAAAATCACAAAGAGATTGGGGAGGAGATGAAGTAGCAGGGCTCAGCAATTCTTTCAATTCCAGTGCACACCCAATAGTGTGTTGGAAGAATGCACACTGTTCGGGATTTGTGGGAGAATTGTCCCACGACAAAGGAGGCAGAGTCACGCTTGTTATAGTCCAATAAGCCGTGCCAGTCAAACAAGAACCCACACTAGCGACAAAAGGCCAGCAAGAGATTCTCACACAAAAGAAAACAAGGAAGCCCATCTTTCAGTTGTGCATCAGGCTCTGGGTTTTATGCTTCACATAAATACAAACGGAGAGGAAAAAATAAACAGCCCAAAAGACTTCTGTTAACTAGAAATCCTATTTAGATTTTGGTACATTCCTCACATCCAGGGATTTAAAACAGTGAACAGAAGCCGGAGCTGAAGGCTGGGGTGGGTCCCCCCTTTTCAAATGAGGGTAATAAATGTGATAAATAGGCATTAACTATGAAACCAAAAGGGAACAGTGACTTCGGATTCCATTTCAATCAACTTAAGACACATTCAGATGGGATAGGAGCCCCTGAAGATATTAACCCAGTATAACCAGTATCTCCCAGCCTCCGAGGGGTGAGCTTGGAGAGGAGACTCCAGTGCAGAAAGTAAATACGGGTCCCTGAACACCGGGCTCAAGAAGGCACCAACACGGAGGTGTCCAACTGAAAAATAATGGCAGCTGCATGTGCAATTCTAAATTTTCTAGTAGCTACATTAAAAGACTTAAATGAAACAGGTGAATTTAATTTTAATAATGTTAAAAGTAACTTTATTAAAACCCAATATATCCTAAATATTATCATTTCAACATGTAATAAATATAAAAAATTACTGAGATAATTTACATTCTTTTGGGGGTGGGGTGGGGGGGACTGCAAAATCTTCAAAATCCCATGTGTTTTTTACACTTCCAGGACATCTCAATTTGGACTTGCCACATTTCAAGTGCTGAGTAGCCACATGTGGCCAGCAGCCACGGCATTGGAAAGCACAGGTCCAACTTATCTACGAGCATGAAAAAGGTGCGCGGTTCTCTCAGGTGTTACAACTACTCAGTGTATTGCTACAGTTGCAGCCATAGCCTTCGAGTAATCCCAGATGTGGCATCAAAATCACTACTGTCCACGCGCCCTTACTATGCTTCCAGCACATACGTGTCACGGGCTCTCTGCCCTGGAGTGGCACAGTGAAATGTTATTTTATTCAGCAGAGATCTGCAGAATCATAGCACCCCCTAAATAAAATCTCGCCTCCCCCTACTTTAACAGTGAAAACAATCATAGTATAATTAGGCCCATTTCAAAGTTTTCTTAAGTAATTTGACATGCCAGGTTTTTATTGGCTGAAAAGTCTGTCATGAAACACAAACACACCTGTCAGCAATTTAAAAAGAAGGAACTAGAGAACTGTTCAGGAAATAATATCTGTGCTAATTAAAACCACTGGTTAAAAGCTTCCTGTTTATTCCTCTGTTTGCCCTAAGGAGTGACCTTTACCTCTCCTCCTCTAGGTTCATTTTTTTATTTGCAGCTAATGTGCTTTTTCTGTCTATGATGTCTTCCAATGAATCCGGTGGATAAGACCCCTTTACATCACTGCTCTCCCAGGCGGAGGGTTAGGGCCAGGCAGGGTATAAGAAGTGATCCAATTCTAAGGCAAGCTAGATTTCAAGGACTTCTCTGCAAGGGCTACTGAGGACCCTGTGCTGTCCAAAGCACAAATCTGGTCTCGTAGAAGCATCATTTCAAGTGTGGAGTTGTCTCGTCACAACACTTTGGGCAAAGCCAGGTTCTCTTTGTGTGAAGAATAGGGCCTCTTGGGCTCACTTCCTTCTCTGAATTCCCTTTCTGCTCTGTGTATGTATTTTCAAAATTGGCAGCACCCAAATGCTTCCTTTCTGCTACTCCTTCTTAGCTGGTCCTGAGTCTTTAATTAAAGCAAAGCATTAGCTACTCACCCACTGGATTTCCTCAGGACCTTCCACCTTGGGTAGCATTAGGCTGGAAGGAAGGACCCGGGATTGCAGGAGGGTCTCCAGGTCTTCTTCGGCCAGACCACTGGACACTGCGTTGATTCTCACACACTTTTCAGTTGAGCCCAGATCAAAGTCTTCAAGAGTTTTTACTATTCTTAATCGAGCTTCATTCTGTAAGTGTTGATAAAATGCATCTCCTGAGTATGTTTATCACTGAGAGGAAATAATCGAACTGTCTATGAAACTTATGTGGATTGAGTCTGAGCACCATTACTGTATCTACAAATCTCCTGTCTACCAAATAAATGGTATTTGAAATGTCATCCAATCTGATAAGTAAGCGATTGATTCCTAGACTTCATTCAAGGTGACTGTAACATAGATGAAGGCCACTCTAATGCATACCAGCAGAATTTAAATAGTAGTGTCATTTTGCTCATTAGCATTACTTTTCAACTGCAAAGGTAAATTAATTGATGGGTAACATTTATTGAGCATTTACTACATACTAGGTGTACTAGGCATGGTTCTAAGTCTTCTACCTGCTATTTCTCACTTAATAACTATGAGAAGCTAGGTAATGTGGATAATGGCAGTCTCATCTGTCAGCATATTCACATTAGGGGAAAAAATAAAAATTTGTTTTTCTTTTCCCACGTTTCATGCTTTTTTTATTCACTTAAAAAAATTTTTTTTTTTTTTTTCAACTGAGTTGAATCTTGACATTCAATTAGGAAGGCGCTCACAGGAAAATGACACTCCACACTACAAAAAAGCTCCAACTTATTCAGATGGAAGGCAATAATATCACCAAGAAACCTCTTCATGAAGTAGTAGACAAAATACATTTTTCCCTTTGATTTGACAGTCTTTGCTCCAGTTAAGAAAAGCTGAAAGGTTGAAAGTCTGCTTCAGTGTCTGAATTGTCCTCAGAAAAATTGTATGAAATCAAACATTTGTTGGCTTTGAGTTGGGGGTGATGAAGGTGAGGGGTAGGGAAAGGAGTGCTTTGAGTGGGTGGGGGTTGGAGTCGAGGGAAAAAAGCACTTTGGGGTCATTACTTCCTGCCAATTTCAGTTTCAAAAACAAATTCCTCCAACTTGCCAACAGCCCTCAACAAATTCTCATTGTCAGAATGAACACGTATCAAAAGTAGTTTCATTTGGGAAGGGTTTTTATGATACTAATAAAACTTTAAAGCTTCTCACTGCTGATGAATGTGGTTTAAAAAAAAAAAAAAAGGCTTAACAATATGCAGCCATTTGAACAGCAATACTTATCTTGGAAAATAGCAAACCAAAATGGAGACAAAAAAGAATTATTTGAGCTGATATTGGTCTAAGTCTAATCAACAAGACAAGCCAGGACAGTAGATTTAAACCAGACGGATGTAGGTCTACGACCCCGTGGAAGCAGGGAAGGCTTCCAAATGTGGTCTGAGTTAAACAGAGTGAGGAAACAGTAGCTTAGAGTTGTCAGGTCAGATGGAAACAGAGTATGTAGGACCAGTTTAAGACAGCTCTGTGGAGTCCTGATTTACAGAGCTCCGAGCCAATAATCAGACCATGCTTAGACAAAAGCAAGAGCGGGCTCACCCAGCTAAAGTGAGGGATGCTGCAGCCAACCGTGGCTTGGCTGCATACCATGCTGTTGGACATTCCACAGCTATAAAACTCATCCACTGCCCTACCTGCCCTCTTGTCCACCCACTAACTGTGAAAATCCTGAAGGTGAAAAGCAGAAGTTAGCTCAATATCATGGTTCCAAGGCCGTCTAGAGCTGGCAAGAGAAAGGCCTCCAGCTCTTTGGCAGTGCAGGTATCAGAGCTACGGCCTCAGAGAACCTCAGATGCGTTGTGCTCTGGGTAGCCGGCACTACAGCAAACTCGGGATCACTGCAGCTCATACATTTCAACTTGCAGGGTTTCTTTCAATAGCAGGTAGGGCTTGTGAAGGGTCTGTTGGGACAGAGGGAATGGAAAATGGAAGAGAACCAACTAGGTCATTTAGGCTGACATGCACTTTAAAACTAGGGTTATTTGAATCTTCATCTCCATTCTCCACTTTAATCTGCATGTGTACTCAAGGACACAGGATCACAGGCAACATCAACTTCCCAAATAGTTAATACTGGTGTCAAACAAAACATGACCTCTAAGCTGTTTTGTTGTTTCACTTGGATTTGAAGAGGGCTGTTTGTTCAAAGCTCATGTTCTAAACCTGTTTGTGATTTTTATCTAAAGTCAGATTGCCATGGTTTCAGCACATTCCAGTTTACTTAGTAAAATTCAGGCCTTGTGAAATTAGATGCAAACGAAGTACCTAATTCCAGCTTTAGGCATAATCTTATTAGTACTTTTCCTGTTATAATAATGAGCATCTAATAATCAGCATTTTATTAGACTTTTTTTTTTTCTGTTTCTGGCTCAGAATTAAGGCCAAGCTCTTCCCACTCCATCATTCTGTACCTTTCCAAAAAAAATATGGCTTTGGAGGTATATTGCCACACATCACCCTTATTAACAGGCTGTCGCCTGTTGCAATTTACATAAACTAAGTGTGCATCCCTCTGCCATGTATCCCAAAATATCCAACTTCACTGAATTTACCCTAACCAATGATCATGTCAATTTTTTCTTTTTGGTATTTTAATGGTGAAATATGTTACTGTGCTAGCAAACATACCCATGCCATCTGTTGGGTGAGAGGAAGGCAGCTTCTAAGAACAATTAAGTTTAGTTCTGGGTGTTCAGCTAGAGAGAGCTACAATCCACCTAGTTGTGAAAAGAAATGGTGTTCATTCTGTTCTCTGCCTTTCCCTCTCTCTCCTCCTCCCCTCTCTCTAACACATACCTTACTTCTTGCTCCCACCTCCCTCTCATCTCCATTACCTCACTCCCTTTCACATGTCTCTCTTTTTCTCTGGCTCCTGTTTGGCCCTGACCATCTTTTCATTTCCATCTTGTTAGAGGGATTAGTAAGACAGCCCAGCAGACACTATGTTCTCAGAAGGGCTGGCTGGGTGATCTGCTAAGATGATTGGGAAATGGGTGTTCCCTGGAGAAAGAAGAAAACGAAAGCAAAAGGAGGCCACTCAGAAAAGACCGTTTTTTAGGGGTAGGGGTGGGGAGGGGCATGTCATATTCTGGAAGCAAAACAGGTTGCTCAAAATGAGGCTCAGAAGGAAGTACATTCTAAACGGGCTAACACTACAGGGCAGCTTTGGTAAGCGTTTTTCATGTAGAATGAACTTGTCCCTCTAAGATCCGACAACCTGGAAAAGCTGGAATAATGGAACGAAGGCCTTGACCAACAGCTACGTTAGACCTTTGCAGAGACAAATCACCACAGTGTGCTCTGTGGCAGGTCTGAGTCCAGAGGTGGGATCTGCAGAGGTCACAGAGAAAGCTGGCACAGCTCAGAATCTTCACAGGCCCCTGTTCTAAAGGGAGGTGTCACCAAAGTTCCCGCATTCAATCGATATTTCGTGCCACGGGCTGCTCAGTGCAGTGGACTGGTGGCTAATAAACTTGTCCTTATACATAAGCCACCATATTATGTGACTGTGTCTGGGCCAGGAACCAAGGCATGCTATGATTTCAGAGACTGGGTCCTCATCACCTGGGGAAGAGACACGCTCCAGTGACGTAAGAAAGCGGATAAATCAACCATCACCGAGACCAGCAGACTCCGAAATTAAAGGAGAAAATATGCGTGCAGTTGGTTCAATTGGCACCCATTAAAGCTAATAACTAATCATCCTCGCAAGTTTCTAGCTCAGAATGATCAAATCTGCAAAGAAAACAACATCCGTCCACTTTTACACTCCAGTGGAAGAGGTGGTCCCTCGCGGCAGGGCGGCACAGTCTCGCCATCTGGAGAATAAATCGAGTGTGAAGTACAGTATAGTTTGGGACCAAGCTCCGTGGCGGCAGCTCAGCAGTCAGTTCATTAGTTCCAAACTTCCAGGGATTAGAGCCGCATCAATTCTACTGTCGGATAGGAAGAGACAGACAGGATACGAGATTCAAGGAGGATTGTGACAACCAGGAGGAGCCCCTTGGGCTTATTTATAAAACTACAAAGTATAAACAGACCCAAATAGGTGTCTTAAATAATAGCATTATCACAGTTTCATAACATCTGAATTAACACCTTTCCCTTCTTCCACCCCCACCCCCAACACACACACACACACACACACACACACACACACACACACACACTGAAACCTTGTGTGTTAATGTATAGTCGTTTTCAGAGGAAATCACAAAGAGGACCCTGGATGCAACAGGAGCAATGAGAAAGAAAGCAGCGCAGCCGAACCGAGGTTTGGTAATTAAGAAATACCAAAGACTTTCTAGACTCCAGGGAGATGCATAGCATTTGTGATTTTTAAAAATGTGTAATTAACGTTTTCATCCTGCAAAAGGCACACTGCCATGCCACATGTCCGAAAGCACTAGTGAATTCTGTCTTTTCTGAATCGGTCCAGCTCATCTCATTTCCATTTTACCTAATTCCTAAAATGATGTCACAGGCATGAAGTGGAACCAATTTTTGGTAGAAGGACAGAACATCAGCATCTATATAAATTTTTTTTTTTTTTGAAAAATATGAGAATGTTTGGTTTAAAATAAATTCTGAGTGTATCATTCCATTTGAGGTCTGCTTTTTCATATAACTTCTTTTTATACATTTATATTAAACAACAGAAGTGCTTCTGACATAAAGCATGCTATCACTAGTAAATTATATTTTCATATTTTTCTTATAAATGCATACACTTTATTATAATCACAGAGACTTTCAGTGACTGCATTGAAAAAAAAGCAAATAAAATCTCATTAATTATTACAACCTGGTAGTGTTTCTTCAGGCAAGATGATAGTGTTGAGTTTTCTATCTCATTGTATTTTTCACATGAAAAACAAATCTTGGTTTGCCTGTTTTTGAAAACAAAATCTACAACACTATTTAATATACCATGGGTTAATCGGTTTGAAATTTCATTCATTAGTAACACCAAAGGCACAGGTAACAAAAGAAAAAATAAACACATTGGATTTTATGAAAAATATAAAATTTCAAAAATGTATAAATGGCAACCCACAAAATGGGAGAAAATATTTGCAAGTCATATATCTGATAAATAATTAATATTCAGAGCAT